TTAATTGATTGTTTCGATCTTTAAGTTGTTCACAACTTGCTTGAAGAATTAATAGTTGTTCATTATTGGTTTCTTCAGTTTGATTTAATTTGAGCATTTTGTTTTCGTGTTGTAGACGAATAAAACGTTCTCTATAAAAACAAAAAATATAAATTCTTTACTATTTGTGCTAAAAAGCAAATTTTTGTTTTGATTATAAAATGATCCTTGAAATGCGTATCATGAATAGGAGATCTTTCGATATCTATTTGGAATCACAGTGAACCCGAAATAAGTTCTCTCTGACGAAGTTTATCCCTTGGAAACAAAATTTTTAAATGACGATTACTTATAGGGATTTGCCGTCGTATGTATTCCCATGGGTAAGTAACAATGACAAGAAATCGATAGATAAAACAAAAACGACACTATAGTTGATTTCTAATTTTCTGTAAAGTTTAACTAATTCAATTTAGATTAAATTAGATGATCGAAAATGTAAGTCATTTATGCCTCTATAGAATTTCGAATACGCTGCTTCCTAGATTTGCAATCAAACAACAAAAAGTAATTGTACATTATTTCCTTCCTCTCACTCAGTACACACTGAACAGCCGAGGTCGTAATCCTACAATTATTCATGAAAATCAAAATTGGAATCAAATCATAACAGTTAAGGATAGAAAAAAAACGTGAAACTACAAGGTCTTAGATCATAGCTCTTAAACTTGAGTTCTGAGGAAAAATTCGAGCAAGTTATGGCGTATTACTCTTTCAAAACCCTTTTTTTCTATGCCATTATATATTGTTCGAATATATTCGTCAATCTATTTAATGAATTTTTCTTTACCTGACATCAGCTGATAAATTGAGAAAATTAAGATCTTCCAGCGATCCAGTTAGTTGATCTTTTGAACTCGTTGTTCCATCAGCTAAATGAAAAATAAAAGCATAAAATTTCTATTTTGATGACCTTTTTAAATTATGAACCTTCATCTAAGTTTACACCGCGAAGTTGTTCGTTTGTTTCTCTTAACAGTTCAATTTGATTTGTTAAATTCTGTAGAAATTTAAAAAAAAGGAAATTTTTTCGTTTGTGTTCAGATATCTACAAACAATTTTCTCTGCATTGACTGCATTTAAACGTTCTTCCGTTCGATTTTTTTCGAATTCTGCTTTATCAGCTATACGTTGTAGTTCGCTTATTTTTTGATATAATTCTTGATTCGTTCGTTTATGAAATTCAACTTGTGTTTGTAGTAATTTAGCTTGTTTATATTCTTGTTCTAAATTCGCTTTTTCATCGAATAAACGTAAATTTGTTTCTTCTAAATATTTTATTTGCTGCCGTAGATCAGACATTTCTTCTAATTTGATTTTGTATGCATCAATAGTTGATTCTAATTTAGTCTTAAAAAAAACGCAAAAAATAATTTTTCATATTGAATTAAACATAAATTTGTTTTATACAAACCATCTTTTCACATTTATTTCTTAATATATCTAATTCATCTTTGAAATTACGTGCATCACTAGCAAGTACCATTAAATCATCATTCTAAATCAAGTAATAGATTACTAGTAGAATAATTTTTCTTCATTGAATATTTACTCGTTTCAGAAGATTTTCATTATCTTCACGCAATACGTCGAGTTTAGCTCGATAGTCTTGTAATGCTAAAATAATCAATCATAATATTATCTTATAAGTGAGATGTATATTTCGAATGAAAAAAAACTGAAGGACTTCACGAACGATTCTATTTCGAAAAATATATAGAAATGATGATTGCTACCAAAATTTCTACATTCATTTTGAATCCAAGGAAAGCTTTCATCGAATCAGAAAGTTTAATTCAAAATGCGGTTTTTTTCTTTCATCGAAAAATTTCCATACAGAATTAGCATTAGTAAACTCTCAACACAAGTGCATTATTCTATAATGAATATATAGGACTATGAAAATGATGTCTATGCTAACTGCATACATCCTTCAAGTTAACCCTTTTCGAAAACAATTACTGTTGTGCAATAGCGACTGAGAAAAAACACAACTAGTTTAACTAACTAACAATGGAGGTGCTTGTACTGTCCGTGAGAATAACAAGATATTTTCGGATCAAATGAAAGCTCTCATAGCCAAACTAGCAAGGTTAACATATTAGTTCCCCTCGGCTTCTGTAGAGGAAGATATTCGATTTTTCAGTGAATTTTCTCTACAGGGCCGACTTTCTCAGCAATATCATATTGTCGAATTTGAACCTGAAACTTTGTATGCATGAAGATTTCAATGAGACTAGCTTACAGAAAAAAAATCAGAAGTTTTGAACAAACCCTCTTCGAGATATGAATCTCTCAAAATATAGACGATTTTCTATAGAAGCTGTATGCTTGAGACATCTATATTTCGAAGAGAGGTTTTCCAAAACTTCTGAAATTTTTTCTATAGGCTAGTCTCCGTGAGACCTTCACGCATACAAAATTTCAGGTTCAAATTCGACAATATGATATTGCTGGGAAAGCCGGTCCTGTAGAGAAAATTCACTGAAAAATCGAATATCTCCCTCTAGACAAGCCAATAACAGCAAATATTTTAACGTTGTTAGTTTGGCTATGAGAGCTTTTATTTGATCCGAAAATATCCTGTTTTTCTCACGGACAGTACAAGCACCTCCATTGTAAAAGTAGCACGTAATTGATGGCGTCTATAGTTGGTTAATGATTAAAATATTTACTTGTTTCAAGTTTAAATACGTCTTCTTGTTGAGATTGAATTCGTTCTTGCAAAGTTTTATAACGACTTCGCGGAATTGATCTTAAAGACAAGAAGAAATAAAATGATACGACAAATTTCTCAATTTACTCTGCATCTTCAGCATTTTCATATTGCTGCAAACGTTCGTTTAGACGTGATGTTTCTTGTATTAAACCAACTTTATCATCTTGAAGTGTCGATATTTGTAAATCAAGTTCACGGCAACGATGTTCAATTTCTTCTTTAGCTTCAACAACTCTATTGAGCTCTTCTAATGCATGTTTTAGCTAGACAAAATGTACGAATAATAAGTTTTCGTTTTAAGAAAAATTCGAATCTATTTACTTGATCACCCAATTCAGAATATTCTTCATTATTCTTTCGAATTTCTTTTACCATTAACTTAAAGAAGAAAACATATTTGAAGAATTTAAAATTTTTCTTTCTACTAACCTCTTGAATAGCATTCATTAAAACATGTTGAACAGATTCTTCCAATAACATAATATGTTCAATATAGAATTGTTTTCGATCACAACTAACAGCACAACCAAGAACAAGTTGTAAAAGTCGACTAAGTTCAGTTTCATCAGTAGTTTCAGCTATATAAATCAAATCATACAGAGAAAAAACAACACTTAACTAAATAATTACCTATCATATTAAGATCAGGCATTTGAAAATCAACAAGAGATTGACCAAGTATCTTAAGATAAAGAAATCAATAAGCTAGACAAATTTAATTTCTCAATGCAATATTACTTCAGAATAATAATCAGTTATATTTTTGAGGATTTTTTTCAGATTATTTGCCTAAATTAAAAATTATAATGAGTAATTCGCAATAAACAGGCCAAATATATTTTTCTCTTTTTCAGATTCTTCAATGGGAAATTTTACATGAGGTTTACACGAACCTTGAGTTTGCTTTTCTAATTAGCTTTTTCTATCAGATCCATCGACATCGTTTGATACGATAATAAACTGTCCAGTGTAAGACAGCTGTCTTTTGAATACATAATATCACTGAGAATGGAGCTAATGAGGCTCGAACGCAAGAAGTAGAAAACTCAGTGCTTATCAATGTTGACTTGCATAAGTTATTTATTGAACTCTACACGTAGAGACTTTAAAAAGAGACCTCACAATCTATCAGTCTTATCGTTAGAAAAGAAGAAAAAAAATATTTTGACACTTTTTCATTTTATCAATTACTTTTATTCGATAGTTATCTCCAGCGTCTGTTCGAATTTTTTGTAACCAAACATCATTAAAATGATTTGAGTCACTAGAATAGCAAGAAAGAGTTGACATAAAATCAAAAAAATAAATTTCATAACAGACATATTCTTTAAACACATTCCAATAAGGACACCATCGGAGAGATCACCGACGCCATTTATTGTTCGACTCAGATCAAATGTTTTCATCTATAGACAAACAATCAATGCTATGTATTGCATTTTCAACAGATAAATTATGCTTACCCATTTTATTAAACTATCGCATAAAATACGCCGATCCATATTATTTTTAAACTGAAAACAAACAAAGCTCTATAAGAAAAAAATAGTAAGAACAAATATTTCAGCACGAATAATGCCATCTATTTAATGGCGAGTCTGTTAGTTATCACAGACTGTTGATCACTAGAGATTAGCAAAAGAAGGTTGACTCTGTTATTCAGTCAGTCATAATAGGGACTTGAATGTGGATCTAAAGGGTTAAAGATTCCTTCAGAATGAATAAATTTGAGTATTTTTGCATTACTTTACTTTTACGGCTCTGGTCCAGCTCTTTTTCTTTCACATGATCGATCTCCAAGGAAAGTCAATGCATACCTGTACTAAAGTAGTTTGCTAAAACTGCACTTTTTCTCTTTACATTCCTAGGGGAATCTCACGTGATAAAACTTTGATCGAAAAACAACTTGTTTAGTATACTTTCTTTAATATAAAATTAAGAAAATTGCTACATGATTCCAACGAAATACAAGAATATCGTATACGTTTAATAACTATTAATTAATGATGACATTTTTTTTTATAGAAGCGAGTAATCAAATGTTTTTCTCGTACTCATTTAAGACAGATACGCAGCATTATATTCATTACCAAAAAAGAAAAAGGTCTATCATAGAACAGAAAATATTTCATTAAATGAATTTTTAATTTAATTATCAAGGGCAAATATCTCACTTTTTTTGTTATACTAGCAGTACTACAATTATCCATGGTTTCATACTCCAACGATAGATTGTTCTCTCATGGACAATTTGTTTATTTTTTTGGGTGTAAATAAACATACGATAGGGTTTATCAATCGAAAATAATACTTATCTAACAGTCTCTAGACAAAATCGACGATAGGATTAATAGTTATATGTAGATAAAAAAAAGGAATGAGACATCGATTGATTTTTATCTATTCAAGATTAATTCACTGGGCTAAAAAATATTGATAACCATTTTTGATTCCATGTACATACAAATATTAACTTGAGCTTACGGAAAAAATGCGAAATAAAATACAGCCTATTTGATTTTCTATGACTACTTCCCTCTTTAAGAAATATTCTATAGAGTATCACTGTTGTTCATTGAAGAATCATAGCGACAAACGATACTATAGTTGTTCATTTCAATGATTGGTCAGTATTCTCCATTGAACTTGCAAAAATCTTTCTCGTCAATATGCTGTTCTGTTTGTCGCTAGTAGCTCTGAATTTAGAAGAAAAACTCTTGGTTAACACAAAAAGACATAACAACAAGGCCACTATGGCGAATATTTACAAAGCATTAGTTTACTTCCGTTTTGACATATAACTATTTTTTTCTTAGATTTATTATTTTATCACTGACTTGAAAAACAAAACAAACGATGTAAACATTTTTTATATTATTGTTTCATAAACAAATCATTTTTGTACTTTCTATTAGGGCCTCACCATTTGAAAATCCACCTCGTGCTACACAATATGAAGCACCAAGACAATTAAATTCTCTTCAAAATGATGTTAATCAAGTAAACAACATCAAACGATGACCTTGAATTAATTTATTCTAAGAAAATTCTTTCGTATAGGTGGTGACTATTATGAAAGATAATCTTGATAAAGTACTTGAACGTGATGCAAATTTAGCTGCGGTTGAAAATCGTGCTAGTACGTTAATTGTCAAAATTAAACGCTATTCGTCATTGATAATCTATTTATTTTAGATGCTTTAGAAAGCGGTGCGTCACAATTTTCGATTAATGCACAAAAATTAAAAAGTAAATATTGGTGGAAAAATGTTAAAGTAAGTTTAACAGACAAAAAGTAGTTTTAATATTCCAATATGTGATATTAACATATCATATAATAGAATGAAATTATATTACTATGATAAAGATTTGATTTAATAAATATTAGTTTTGTCTATTTAGATGTGGATTATTATAATCATTATTATTGTAAGTAATTATTTTCCTTTATATGTGAGCTCGATATAGATTCCTTATTTTTTAGATCGTTTTGATCATCGTCATTGTTGGTAAGAAATAGAATTTAAAAAATAATGTATTTTACTTAATTAATTCTTTCTTTTTTCTTTAGTTGCTGCCACACAATCATCAAAAGGTAACAACAATGGTAATCAAAATAATAATGGTAGTGGAAAATAAATCAATCTAAAATTAGAGAATGGTAAGAAAAATGCAGAATTTTTTTTTCTAATGCAGACATTGATTATTAATTTTTAGAAAAACTAAGTTTTAACTTGAAATTTTTTGAAAAAAAAGAATATCTTAATCAGAATAATTTATTATGAAAGTCTTAGACATTTTCTTTACCTTGCATCTGCAATAAGAATAACAGCATCTCCCTTGTGAATAGAAATAACATAGGAAAAGAAATGTACTGTTCTCGTCGTGTTATTTTGGCATAGGGAAACAAAATAACCTGAAACTTAGACAATCAACTATACTCGTTGAGAGACTTCCTCTGTGAAAATCTTCAATACCGAATTCAAAACTGGGTTTTCCTCGTAATCCTAAGGAATCGTACAACAGTGAGCTTTTTATTCTTCAGGATATTCATATCTCATTACGACCTAAATGATGCACTGAGTCCTAGCTAAAAAAACAAATACTGTAATCCTTTCAAATCTTTCCTCGAAAGTCGTTTAAGCATGCGAGAATTATAATCCTCTGTTACTGTTAAGACAAATTTGTTCATTCTGCAGTAAGACTACTCGAATATTCTATTCTCTTTCTATGTAATGTTCTGATAGTTTCAATAATCATACGGTAGAAAGGCGTTATTGAAACACACAAGAAGTTTTGATTTATTTTCTTTCAGGATATTTTAAAATAGAAGATATGCTATAAAGAGAAATTGATTCTAAGACAATCAAGAAGTTATTTAATACATATGATTAAATATTCGAGCATTATTCTTTGATTTACTTCAGAACTACTAAAGGCATTTTCTTTCTATGAAATATTATTTTAACTTTGAATGTAATCAAACTTCCAATATCATACTTGAACTTTGTTCTTAATTGTCCACTATAGTAAAATCTTCTGCATTACAATAAAAAATAGGAGTTGAAATCGGTCGAAATTTGTTTATTTATTTATTTTAGAATGCTCTCAATCAATGATCTATTTTTTTTCTTCATATGCCAAGTGATTAAACTTTTTTATGCTTACTATTTTTTGATATCTTAAATAACAAAACGTCCTAATTGTCCATGTCATTTATATACACATGTGTATGTTTTTTTTTGATTTATTTTGTTTCTCTCAAACATTCTCATCTGTTATGTTGCTGAAATGATCTTATTTTTGTGTCTTGTAATTCTTTGTTCTATTTATTCACGTAAACTTGTATTCAACACAAAAGAAAAAGAAATAAACATTAACATGAAATGATATTTTTCTATGTGAAAAAACTTTTCTTTCTTGATTTTAGTATTATTATATTGTTAAATTAACTCAATTAATAACATGTAAATATTTAGTGGAGGAGAAAAAGTGGTTTTGTTTAATTGTTTTTGTTTTGTTGAATAGGTCAAATAATGGCGGTGGTGCATCACCAGCTGCTCCTGGTGGTTCTAAACGTATGGCTCAACAACTGGCACAAGTCGATGAAGTTGTGGATATAATGCGACAAAATGTTGATAAGGTTTTAGAACGTGATAAAAATTTGTCACTTCTTGACGATCGAGCTGGTATATTGAAAATATGAAAACAAAATTAATTTCTAGTGTTTTTGTTTTTGCAGATAAACTACAACATAATGCAGCTCAATTTGAACAACAAGCAGGCAAATTGAAACGAAAATTTTGGTTACAAAATATGAAGGTAAATATAGAAAGATTGCAAATAAAGAAAACATTTTGCTTATTGTTTGAATGAGATTGATTATTTTTTTGTAATCGAATTGATTAGATGATGATTATTATGGGAGTAGTAGGCACTATTTTAACTATAGTGATCATAGGTAAAATCTAATGTTGTCACAGTTACATGATCCCAGGTCGAACATTCCGTCCACCGGATCCCGTGGGATACTCCAGGAAATATACGGGAAGCCACCACATCCTACAGGAAAACACGGGAAATCGCTGGAATATGGAAGCAGCATTTCGGTCAAAAATACTGTCGGACTTTTCCGGCGGATTCCTGCCACGTTCCGGTGCTTTGCGGCAGGAATTGATCGGAAATCACCGGAAAAAATCCGAGAAACTTCCAACCGGGATACTGCTTCCACAAAGTCAATGGAACTATCCGGAACTAGTCGTTTTCAGGCCGGACTATTCGACCTGGGTTGCTTTTGTTTATCTTATTTCGTTGTTGTCGAATCGCCTGTTTGTCAGTGACTTTTGATAGTTGTATGTTGCTTGAATTTTACTTATCATTTATTCATTTAGGATGGATCTATTCAAAAGCTAAAGGAGCTGCACCAGCTCTCCCCGCTAATCCTGCCGAAGGTGATGCTGATACAACAACGCCTATTTCATCAGCCAATGATGAATTGCCTAAAGTAGCCGGTGATTCTATGGCTGTACCAGCTGAAGAGAACGCAACAGGAAAACCTCGTAAAAATAAACGAAAGAAAACAACAAGTGGAGGCAGCTCAGCTAGTTCTTCAGCAGCGCCAACAAATAAAAATGATGGCTCTGCAAGTGGGGCGGATACTTTGAAGTCTGTTAAAAAACGGCTGATTCGTACACTTCTACAATAGTCGATAACTTTCATCAAGCAGAATACAAAACACAATAAACTTATTTCCTTCATTCCAACGCGATGTATTTACATTAAAATCCGATTACGCTTTATTTTTGCTTGTCACTCTCTTTCTCGTATTTTTCTCCTTCCATGTTGTTTGTTTTATTGTTCGTGAACTAAAAATAATACTCCTATACATTTGTCTAAAATATATTTTTAGGGCACATGATTCTTGCAGTATTCTATAAGTTTTATTCTTGATTGTATGAATAAATTTTATTTAATTTCATTTACTCTTAAAATAATAAAAATTGGTAATTGTTTGAATTTCATACGGAGAATGACAAATATAACTGAATTTTGTTTCACAACAATACAAACTAGATCTGTATGCTTAAAATTCTTTGTTCATTAATCGAACAATAATCATTATAATAACATATAGAGTGAATGATCTATCGAACATTCATGATAGTCATCATCAAATCGTTTTTTGAAAAAGCGCTATGTAATCAATTATCAGGCGAAAAATCAAATGTCTTATTTTAGAACTCACCTTTATTATGATACAATAACAACGAGAAAAAACAACGATATCAATACAGGCATGGAAAGTATGGTTTATTTTTGATGATCTGTATTCTAGCGAACACAGCAAAAACAAGACTTCTATCTTGCACAATAGACAATAAACAAAACACGCTATATGAACACAACGAAATTGAATCCATGTATTCAATGATTTGATTCTATTGCGGTCTCACATACAATAATGTTTGTGGCAAGATGCTACTAAGCAATTCTCTGAAATTGTTCATTCAACTGAGAAAATAATCAAATATTAATATCTTTATTAGAATTCGATTAATTCAGTCGGCTGTAGGCTGAACATTCACGCACCCAATCTTCATCAGAAGAACCTGCAGTATGAATGGTCTGACACCAATGGCAATTGACCATTGATCAAACTCAAAATTGATGTGAGCAGTTTTTTAGAACAGGACTTTCCAATCACATTCGTATAATTTACTTGCCAATAGAAATACCACTTCTAGAAGCTCAATCATTGTGATTACTTGATAATAACATCGTAATGCTTTGAAATAGTAGAATTTCACAATATGCTTCACTTGATATTAAATTGTTGACAACAGTTATGCTATGAATCATTTGACTATTTACTTGCGGTCAACCATTTTCATGATTCTTTTTTCATTATCTCTGCAGATATTCTAAACATACTTTTGCATGTTCTGTATTCTTCAGTTAAAATAAGAGTAAAGTCAGGTAAGTAAAGTTATAGACTTTTAAAGATTACTAAAGCATTGAAATTAGTGTCTGATTTTGTTTTAATTTGCTACAAAATTGATGTAATTTGACATGGAAACTGATGTAGTAATCATTTCAAAACAAAATCAATACATATAATGGTTTTTCAACTGAATTGTAGCCTGACGTTTTTTTTTTTACAATGGTAGTTTGTAACATTCAGCAGCTCATATGTTACTTGAGCAAGTCGTTATTTCTTTTGCAGAAAAAACATAAGATTTCATTTATAGCTTTATGCTTAGAAAGTGAAATATATATCGTCAAAAAATTTTCATGTAAAAAATGTAAATTTAATCAAAATTAAACTCGCTTGCAGGCGGAAAAAGAGAAATGTATTTTGTATTTGTGCACTACTGCTAGTGAAGACAGCAAGAGACGAAGAATTTATATACGAAGTCATATTATATTCTTTGGTTTTTATTCGCATTTATAACTGTCGTTTGATAATTATTTGTCTTTGCTTCCTGCAGAAATACATGGCGTTCAAATGAATAAAGCCAATATCAAGATATTTTATTGATTGTTGCTTGTTAGATTCGCCACTAAATTCAGCAATAGAAAAGCGTTTGCTATTAGCGATTACAGTAAAGTAAATGGATTTTTCTAAATTTAGGTAAACAAGTACAAAAAAAAGGATTGAAATGTCGTTCACAAATAATATTGAAGTTAACTGTAATAACTGTGTCGGTGAATTGAGACATATTTGGACATCAATTGGTTTTGATGAGATTAATTGGTCTTACACTGAAAGAGGAAAATACTTGCTCAAGACACTGAAAGGTAAGAAAACCTCATTCTTTACCATAGCATCATAATAATTCATGCAAATCAATTTTCTAACAAGCTCTATTTCAAACATAGATTATGCAAGATTACAGAAGATTCCTATTAGAACTTGTTTCTGTTAGACGTATCCTTTATTGTCAAGCAAAGTATGCTTTCTACTCGAATAGAAGTAATCACTTCTATGGCTTAAAAATAATATTAAGAATTGGATGAACTCAATCAATCTAAAATACGTAGTGTATCCCTAAGATATTTCATGCTTTTATTTTAGATCTTTAAATTAGATTATAATCCATATTGGTTTATAGATAAGCTGGGAGGAGAATTCAGTAGGTTCGGGCGGGCAAAAAATTATTTCTCAGTGTAACGGCATTCTGCCATCAATCTGAGCTTGTCAATGAGATGCAGCTCTATAGAACTTATGCAATTATTTCAGCTAGTAAAAAATATCATTTCAGATTCTATTCAAAACCAATCGTTATCGAAAAACCTTCTTTTTTAAACTCCCTCAATATGTATTGAACATTTAGACACAGTTATGGAAAAACCATATTATGTTCGAAATCATAACATATTTACAAGTGGCAATATGCTCAGTTATCCCGCTGGTGGATCAACAAATATCTACATGGAGGATGAAGACGGACGAGCATATTATAATTTTGAAATCATTGATAAAATCTACGATAATTATGTTGAACATGGTTTTATACCAATAATTGAATTAGATTTTATGCCATTAGATTTAGTACCAGATTCAAAAGATTTACCATCTGATTGGGCAATGGGTCGAGATGTAGGGCATGAGTCGTATGAACAAAATAAATGGAAATTACCACCTAAAGATTATAAAAAATGGCAGCAGTTAATTGAAATATTTGCTAATCATCTTTACGAAAGATATGGTGAACAAGTACAAAATTGGTATTTCGAAGTATGGAATGAGCCGAATTTAACAAACTATTGGTTAGGATCAGTTGAAGATTATTGTAAACTATATGATTATTCTGCTGAAGCAATTAAACGAGTAAATAAATCTTTTAAGATTGGCGGACCAGCTACATCGGATATTGGAACAGAGTTTTTAAAACAATTTTTAGACCACGTGACATCCGGTAAAAATTATGTAACGGATGAAATCGGAACGGCTATTGATTTCATATCATTTCATACAAAAGGTATCGTAACGGAAACTTTAGATGGAAACATTCGCAAAATTTTCAGAATTTAATGTTGTTTCAGACTGTTCAGCAGTTTATATTAGTTCAGATTCCCGTTAAAGAACTATTTAAAAATAATAGTCATAGTAGTCCTTACTTTTATATTAAACAACGTCGAGTCATTATCTCTTCTTTAATAGTTACCATCAAATATCTCATATTACCCTCCAAGCCTAGCATTATTAATGTAGAGAATTTTTCTAGCTAAATTTATTTCTATTGTGTTTTTTTGAACTTGTTTTACTTTCCCTTTCTTCTTCGTTCCTTGAAAACGTAATTGGCCCATCTAGAATCTTGTATAGTGATACAAAATATTTGACTTTGAATTCACGGTTGAAAAATAAACCTTATTTTCATTTGTAAAAAGGTGCCTATTATGTTCCTCGAAGATCTTATGGTCATAAAGTTAATCATCAATCACCAAGTCTTGCAAAGATTCTAAACGATATTCGTAGTAACTTAATCGTTTGTAATGAATTTGAACAATTGAATAATTTACCAATCTTTATTGATGAATGTGATCCTGCTGTCGGTACAATTTATGGTGTTTATGATAATCCAAATTACAATATATGCAATACAGAATATTATCCTTGTATTGTTGCATCGATGATCTATCATATATTATCTTTGTCTAGTCGAATTCAAATGATAACACATTGGTCCTTTTATATGGAAGGAAAACGATTATTTGAAGGTAATAGAACGCTAATGACAAACTATAATTTACATTTACCTATTTTATCTGGTTTGAAATTATTCGGAAAATTAAAATATAAACGATTACTCATTGAAACGAATCAAATACATTTGCCAATTTTTGGTATCGCAACATGTGACGATGAAAATAAAAGTTATCAATTATTACTTTTCTATCATGTTGACGATTGGACACATGAAGATATTCAATCGATTAGTATCACTTTTAAAAATATTCCATTAGAAAATGTACTATTGAAGCATTATCGAATTGATTCAAATCATAATAATCCATATGTAGAATGGGTTAGAATGGGAAAACCAGATGAATTGAATCCGAATCAATTAGAGCATTTGAAACATAGTCAAGAATTAAAATTATTGTATGCTCCAGTTAAATATAAGATTGAAAATAATCAATTAAAATTAGCTTCATTTGATTTGCCGAGTCATTCGATCTCGCTTATTGAATTAACAAATATTAGCATTTAAAGTAATACGCTTAATTGTATGTTCCAAATAAAAAGTAAAGATTTGATACAAAACGTAATTTTAGAACCATATTTATTCAGGAAAAATAAGTGAGAATTACCCTCGACGATTGTAATATGAGGCACATTTTTTTAGATTAAATTTCACTACCTGGACGGAGTACATGCATCTATCTGCGCATTCTTGTTTTTTTTTCTCTTTTTATTACCACGGAGTTTGATGAGTGTTCAAGGACTGTGGAATAGGATTTTCTCCTCAGTTCTCCCACAGTTTCCCGAATACTAAAATTCAAAAAATACAATATCCACGAGAGTTTTTACTCTTATACTCATTTTCATCCGGTAATTTGTATACGGCACAAAGCATATTTCAGAGAAAGCATATTATAACATAAGACAAAATACCTAAAAGTAAACAACGAGAGCATGAATCATAAAATACAAAGGAAAACAAAACTTAACAATGAGTGAAAAGAGAACGCGCATCGAAAAAGGAAAAGTTAATAGCAGCGACTGAATTTGTAACCCTTTAACATACTCTTTAAAACTTTCGTTTCATATGTAACTCTATAGTCTTTCGACTGAATTTGCAATACTTTCAAATTGCACAGTTATTGACTAATCAGCGCATACAACATTTCAACGAGCAACAGCAGGTGAAGGCAAATATCAATTCACTCTCTCGGAGTTTTTTTCTTCGGATAGAAAATGATACTATATAATAAACAAAGATAAACAATTCTTTTTAGGAGTTCATTAGTCTATTTTTAGTATTCCAAACTTAGTTGTATAACCTATTAGCTTCCGATCATGTTTGCAAATTGTTTATTCAAGAAAATTTATTCAGATACTGCTGACTTCTTTGTATTAATTATTATAAACTTCGTGTCTAACATGCATGAAAATGACTCATTTATGAAATCTGTTTTCGTTCTATGTAATTTCTACACTACACAGTCAGTATATGCAAGTTTAGTCAAAATACATCATAAAAAGAAGTAACGGATATTATTCAGTTTCTTAGTGGTCCTGCGGCAGCTGATTTAATATGAAACTTGATATCTTCGTTTAGGTATACAACTGTAATCTATTCTAGAGTAATAATTAAGACAAACTAATTAATAATACTAAAAGTATGGCCATAAAACCGGTTTCGACAAGTGTATGGATAGGAGAGCTGACATTAGACAAATTACAACATGAAATGCATGCCAGTAAAAATGAATTAGCTTATCTTCAACAGTTAATCAATCTCCGATCAAAGAAACGACAAATACAATCACCTAAAGATGCAGGTTATGCCCGCCCTTCAGTAATTATCGATAAATTTCTTTATCATGGCGAGTTGAAACATGCAGAAAACAAGTATCTACTAAATGATCGCAACATTGGACATATTATCAATGTGAGTGACTGTCCATTGCAACAGGATATTGTCGAGCATTTCAATGTACTTTGGATCAATTTGGACGATAATTTTGGTGTTGATATTTCGCAATATTTCGAGACAACAAATGAATTTTTGAATATTTGTAAGGCAAAAGACGAAAAAGTGCTCGTTCATTGTCGGATGGGTATCTCTCGTTCATCTACGATTGTTCTTGCTTATCTACTGAAGTAATATTTTTATTTATGGACAACGATTCTCATTCTTTTGATCTAGGTATCACTATGATTCGTTGCCCAATGCTTACGATTACTTAGTTGAACGACGTCGTTTTGCTGCTCCCAATCACAGTTTTTTCTTACAGCTAATTCGTTATGAGCGCAAACTGTACGAGAAACCGGATGTCAAAAAGCCACCAACTATTGACGAAAAATAAGTTCGAATGGATACACCTGATAAAAAATGAACTTCCAAAAGTTTTGCCTGATCTATGACAGGCAATTTTTAAGCCCAGACGACAAAATATAACAGAATGCTTCTACAGACCTATTGCACATCTATGATATTGTGGTAGGATTTTCTTTGCATCTTATATGATTAGGGTGTGAGCTTGAATATTTCATTGATACGCGCCACACCCTAAAATTTTTCTGAAAAGAAGCCATTCAGCGCTATGTTTGATAACAGTATTTTCACACTAAATTCGGTACCATACTACACGTGCTTTTATTCTATTCAATAAAAAGAACCTGTTTATTCGAGTCATATTAGTCATAGCAAACTGAAACATCTTGTGGCGCTGGACATTGTCCACCAAAATATAAGCCTTGATACGCGCCACTACTAAACTTAGGACATGAACGATGTTGAACTGTTTGAACTTCGAGAACTTGATTCGCATCATCAGACAATTGATAAACGGTTTTAGTTTCTTCGAATGTTAACTGCAACTTGTACCACGTGTTGATGCGAAGCTTTGCTGAAAATTCTTTCAACAATATACCCGAAAATTGGTATGGTTTAAGGCCATTATCATAGGCAGATGCAGCCAATTCGACTAAGTCAGCTTCAGCACAATCGACTCGCTCAGAAATAACAAATCCTTGGGAATCATATTGGAGGCAACTACCGGCTCGGCGCCAAACGAATCGATCCGAATCCATCAATTGAGAATTAAGATATCCGCAACGAGTAGAACCCCAGACTGCGTTCCATGATTGTGAGCACGAGCGTCCATTAATTTCTGTTGGAGGAAACAAATAACGGGCAGTACTTTCTGTAAACTGAATACGCACTGAAATGACTGATTCATTTTTAAAACCATAAAATGGAAGTGTTGACGTAAAATGTTGCCCTTGTTTCACAATTCGACAATCCAATGAATGAGCTCCGTTGAAGACAAACAAAACAGTGAGAAGCGTTAAATATAGCATTTCAATCAATGCCTTTCGTCAATTGATTATTTGAAGTGTTTATTACAACAAAACAAAAAACCTTTTTTCGGTTATTTTTTTTCTCATTTTCTCTTTAATCTTTTATTTTTTGCAGTAATTCAATACTATTTCATCATCAAACTATACATATTGCTGTTTCAGTGCGACTAATGTCATAAAAACATTCTATCGATTCATACATCAAAATAACAATTATTGATTTTCTTAAGCGATTTAATTCGCCATCAGGTTCAGATTTCAAAATAAAGCTTTATTCGTTGAGGTAGTTCTTCATGTCAAGTTCAAATATACTATTCTCAAACATAACCCAGTGCTGATTTTCTAGTTGATCATGTAAACAAACGAATTGAGTATTCCTATATTTCACTTTAGCCATTATCGAATTGTAGTGTATAATAAGTCGTAGTTTTACTTAAACGATGTAGAGAATACTGGCACGCGTGCCTTCATTGATACTCACAATTCTATATCATGCCCACATTAATACAACACACTATGCATTGTGTATTATTTGAAAGCAAATAAGAAAGTCTGCAATTAATTAATGATGATACAACTGCAAAAGAAGAAAAAAAAACGCTTTAAGCGAAATCTTCTGAATGAGGTGCAGGTTCAGCAAATAATTTTGTCATATCAATCCGAGTATGAACTCGATTAAATGCTTCTATTGGTCCTTGTGGATCATCAGGTGCACTATACGCAAGATAAGCTGCATTGTCACCATAATCAAGAATTAAATTTAATGTATTGCCTGTTTCCAATAAACTAGTTATATTTCGTATAATAGTTGCTGCGTCAAGATGACTATAATGATCAATTAATAAACTACCAAAACATGGATGATTTGATGGTTGTGGATGTGGATCCCAATAAACAATATCTTTCAATATTGGATGATTCGGCGTATTGTACATATCTTCCCAAGAATAGGCATTAAATTCTTTAGCACTATATTCAATACCAAGAAATCCAACACTATTATTATCATTAATCGAAGAATTTCGATGGAATTCTCCAAGACCAAGATGAACTGAACAAGTTCGATGTGTATTTATAAGCATACTTAAAGCAGTATCAAGTGAATTTGAAAATTGAATTACATCTCGAAGAACATATGTCCATGGGTTACCCAAACGTGAAGTTATATCTTGTTCTGTAGTAATCCAAACTTTCTGTCCTAGACCAACAGAAACTTCATTGTACGCTCCTATAGATCCAACAAGACCAGCATAACCAAAATTAGCAAACGTATGTGATGTCGTGTATTTTTGTTTATAATACTCATGAAAATGGTCAGCATAGCCGGCATATGATGCATTAGGATGATAGACAGTTACTGTTGCATATTTAGCAATTGGTGCTTTTTCGTCCCAATCTAGTGAACGAAGATGAAGTAATGTTGTGGATGATGCAGTAGATTCGCCCCAAGCTCCCAATACACTACAAGCAGCTTTGATCAATTCTGGAATTAGATTAAGTCGACGTATATCTTTATATGATATGCCACTACCAGCAGCAAGACCTTGAAGTTCTTCATCGTACCAAGGTGGTGTATATTGACGAGTTATATCATAATTAAGATCAAGAGCACCACGCAAACCAAATTCAGCAAGCCATTTCGCAATAAGCTACTCAAATAATAATATAATTATTTGTTAAATAAGAAAACAAAAAACATGATTCATCTTTACAGGTGGTACTTGTTTAATCAAGTCTTCGATCTTATTCTCCAAATAAGCAAAATACTCTGGAACAAGCTGTTGTAGATCTTCACTCATCAGTTTTCCAAATGCGTAGCCCATATCATATGGTGTACCACCATAGACATGAACAATATTAATTGTATCAAAATTGTGTCCAACAACAAAACGTTTTCCATTCAAGATCGAACTAACAAGACGTGGTTCTTCGCGTAATATTTCATTTGTATTTAATTTACCTTTACAACTAGGATCCACTAGAGTAACGGGGCTTATTCCCACAAAAATAAAAAATACTGTAAGATGAATACCTCTCATCCGCTCTGATTATGATTGTTTGTGACGAGGAGAAAAAACAATAGAAACAATGGCAAATATACAAACAGATGGTTTATTCTCATGATCAAAATCTTTATCTACATATGATTCTTTTTATATGATAGCGTGCACAAAAGAAAAGCTACGCAGACACATTCTTTATTGAAGCAACTTTTTGAGAGTATTTAATTTTGCGATGCGTATGAATACCTGCCAATGATTACAACGAATTAAACAAGCAAAGTCATCGTTATGCAAGAAAGATGAAATCAAGATAATACGAATAACTTTTCTTTTTTTTTATCACAAAACTTGATTCATCATTGAACACAATATAAATTAAAGCAAAAGTTCCATTCTAACAACACTCGATAATCAGGTTTTTCTGTGCTGTCATATTCTTCCCGAGTAAGTTTTCCTTGTACACGTTGATATTTGATGCAGAAACATTTTTCTTGTGGACAAGTACTGTCAAAAATTTGATCCCAAATTTTGAAAAAGAATCCTGTATGATATGGCTTATTTTTAATTGAGATAGCATGGTGTAAATAATGTTGAAAGGATGTGCTTAGAATAGGATGATGCGCATCGGAATAGGAGAATTCATGACCGGAGTGCACATAAACGCCGTTTCCATATAAGAAGATAGCAAACAGAAACGAAAAAAAAAGGATGCCAATTAATTTATTGTGTATTCAAGTAGTAGATTGTTTTGAGTTAAATCGTTCCGCCTAGAAAAAAAGAAAGCTTGAGCGGCAGATTTTTTAAGCTAAAACTACAATTTGATTTGAATATTTTTACCCGAAAAAATAGAAGGTTCATATTGATGGGCATCATCGTCGGTAAGAATAGCAATGGTGATGCTCGAACCAATTGATCTAAATATTCATCAGCAATAACGGCAAATGGTGTTGGATTAAAAAATTGATGATGATATTTGTGTACGTTCCATAATGTTTCGATTGTATGTCCTAATCAATGATAGAAAAATTCGAAAAAATCTGTAACTATAACAAAGAAACTAAATATTAAATATTCCCAACCATAATTGCCAACACCACAGTATACATCGACTTTTCCTCTAGCCATTAAGTATAATGCTAATGATGGGCAAAATGTAGCCATAAGAAGACCTTTTAACATCATGATAATTTCCATTCGAACGGTTTTCGGGGGTGGATATTTAGCATTTGATTTCGTTAGCCATTTTTGATAGCTCACTTTAACATATTAACAAAGTATGCTAATAATTACGTTCGTTATTTCTAGAGCAAAACAATAGATAGTATTTTGATGTTGAATATTTTGTCATATTCATTTATTGCAGCAAAAGTATTCACAAATAGTGACGTAGGTTAGATTTATCTTTTATATTTTTGGTGTACTTTGCCTTGTTGAATTCTATAGTTTGTAATGCACCGTATGATCTATGTTTCTTTTGATATTGGTTAATGTTGAATGTTTCTGTTGGCTTGTAAAGATAGTACACAATTTCATATGAGTATTGTCTCTTCGCATGCAGGAAGAAGATATACCATATTTTACTTGTCTTCAGGATACTAAAAACATATCATGCATAATCCGTTAAGTAAAAATAGTTTTAAATATATTTAGTTATCAATACCTCTTATTATGAGCTATTTCGAGTTTGTCGTTTTCTCAAAGTTTTAGAACCAAAACAGGGCGTGGGTGTGGATCGAGATCTTCTTTCGCGACCCAGCCTCTCATTCACATCCACAAGCTGACCCACACCCACACCCTAGATGTGTACTTATTTTTCGTGTTTTCTATCAAAAATGACGTATGCGACAGAGAGAAATGTGGCGACGTAATCGTCATTTGGTTATCCAAGCGGGACTTGTGTCATTACTATACAATATTGTCTGGATACCAAATGTTTTTTGTGCTGTTATTGTTCTTTTCCTACCGAACCCGTCCATCTCGGAAATCTCCTAGAGCTATCTCGTCTACTATCAATATACACCGATGCTTTTGTATCCATTTATGTGTCTTAAGGGTTTACCTGAAATACGTGATTTACTTAAAAAGCAATTCGGATGGAAAGGAAAAAATCGAAGAACAAATATCGTGCAACTAACCCATGTATTACAACCAACCAATAAAATGCAACCAATCAGTCACACTTGAGAAGAACTTATACCCAGCGACCGTACACAGTCTCACAGTATTTCGACTAACTCTCAGATAGAGCATTAATTTATTATTTGCCACTACAGTGTCATCTTTGATTTAGTCAATAGAACAAATCATGAATAAATCCTTCAAGTACTCATTTACTTGAAATCGCGATTTCAATAGTGAACAGTAACTTATAGGTACCCAGGTTGATCAAAACGGACTCGTTTACTGTCTGTTTGTCGACGGTAAACGATGTCAAAACGGTATCTTTACGGCAGTAAATAGGCCGTATTTGCCCGTAATACCTGGCGCAGTAATACGGCAACGTAAACGGGACTGAATTTTCATGGTTTACGGCTGTTTGTGCTCCGTACTCTCATGATAATACGGTCCGTATTACTGCGCCAGATATTACGGCAAAATTTCGCCCGTAAAATAGTCGTAGAGTAACCGTCAATGGCCGTATACGGACCGTACTGTTCGACCTGGGCAGTATCAGATGATGAAGAGGTAGAAAATAAGTCGATTCACTCATCGTAGCTATGCTTTTCGTAAAGCGAATTTAGAAGATAATTTCATTTTAGAATAATAAATTCAATTTTTAACTAGACTGATATCTAATTATACATGATGGTTATGTATTTCATGATAAACGAACGTTACAAAAACTCTTCATCATCACGATAGACTAAATGTAACGGTATATGAAAATATGCGTGCTTGTTGAGTAATTACGCCATAAATGTGTCCTATGTCACCACGCAAAATAGTGTGCGTAAGAAAACTTTGGTGTTTATATGCGATGCTATTTCAAAATGTGATTACTCAACATCAATTTGATTTCACTTTAACATACTGTTTTATTCTAACAATCTACGGAGGTCCGAAAGTGATGGTTTATCATAAAATGAACTATCAACCTAACTTCACCATGACTCACTCACGACTTCTCTGAGGTCCGAAAGTGATGGTTTACCTGAATACTGTATTCAAGCCTGGCCTAACTTCACCATCACTCCCTCATGACCTCCTTTTTTATTGAAAATAAGAAGATGAACAAATTCATATATTATCGAATATTGTAATTTATATAGCTGCTGTAGAACTTTGTACTTTTTTCAGATTATATGTGGTAGAAATGATACAAGTAACTTCAATAATGAGTAATATGAATGAGACGATGGTGTAATTGCTACTAATGCTATTGAATATTGTTTTTTATGTATTAAAGATAAGACACCTTCAATGAAAAATGGAGTACAAGGTAATTTATAGATTTTATTGGTCAGCATGGCATAACGAAAAGTGTGCTTTTCGAAGGTAGCTACGTCTATAAATAACTAGCAATAGTAAATCTTCATATTTGTCTTTTCTATAGCATGTTCAAACAGTAGTCAAATTCCTCTATTTACAGTAGGCATCTATTCGTAAGCTTCGAACTCAAAATGAATATGCCTAAATTCGAATGCAAAAAATAGTTGAAGTAGAAAAAAAATCATGTAGATCTGTAGAATTATTTGTGGTTCAGAGAAAAAGAACTATACAACCAGGGTTACCAAATTCAAATTTTAGAAAAAAGGAGCTTTTTGTGAAAAATCAGGAGTGTTTTTTTTTGACACTCAACAGTCATTGGGTGGCTTTTATCTGATAACATCCGATTTTTCACTAACAGACGCATTAAACTCTTTTTCTATAATGAGATTGAGGCTGAAAATTTCCTTGTGGGTGAATTATATTTGAAAAATAGAATGCGGACTTCATAAATTTTATTTAAATAGATAACTAAAACGTGCTCATTAGAATAAATAGTAAAAAATACTTAACCAATTTACTCAGTAATTCGTAGCAGTTTGGCGACGTGACTACTTATCTACCGATTGAATATTTCTTCGAAAGATCTGGTTCATTTAAAAGATAATGATAGAATTGTATGAAAGTGAAATAGGCAGTGTTAACAGATTCCCACATTTTGTGGAAAAATTCGGAATTTCTAAAGTTTTTCCGAGTCTGCAAAGCGTTTCTCAATTTTGAAAAACAACTGTGGATTTTTAGGATTTTCGAGGTTTACATCGGGCAACATTGTTGTATGAGCACGTTTTTTTTTTATTCAAATATATGTTGTAGATATGTATAAAGAGTGTCTTTGTTCGGAATCCGCTGGAGGGAAACGTACTTTAAATGACAAAAACGGACCCGAAAAATCTTTCCTGATTTTTCCGCATTTAAAAAACCCACAATTTTTTCGGATTTTCAAGTTCGACATCTGACAACACTGCAAATGAGTGTTTATTTTAATCTTTAACTCAGCTCCAACTAAATCATGGTTCATTTGATTTCGATTGTCATTCCATATATAACTTTAACACTTAAATAGATTTGTTCCTTTCTCTTTAAAAGCGCAATAGGTTCAAAACGTCGCTAATCGTCACATTAAAAAAATCAGGAGAAAACAGGAGAAAATATTAAAAAAAAACAGCTCCTGAAATCAGGAGATTTCTTGTCAAGAGAAAAGTTTCAAAACCAGGAGATCGTTGGTCAAAACAGGGGCTTTGGTAACCCTGATTATGTTTGACCCTTGAGTATGTGAAAAAAGAATTAGATCGAAAAAACAATAGTAACGTCGGTCATTCATCGTTGGCGATGACGATAACATTATTGTATGCCTTAATTTTCTCATGAAGGACAAGGAAGAAAATATGACAGTGAATATATATATAGAGAGAAAAAAATTGAACTCGTTAGAGAACATCAGCTGCACATAAACATTTTAAATAAAAACGGTATGAATATACTTGATTTACCTGACGAAATGTTACTTGCTATTTTCAACAAAATGAATATGATTGATGTACTTTATTCACTTGTGGGTGTAAATCAGCGACTTGATCAATTAATATTCGACCCTCTTTATATTTGTCATCTCAATGTCAGGGTCAATTCGTTGCTCAATAGTAACTCTAATATAGCTAATCACATTCTCGATCGCATCTGTGAAAAAATCATTCCTTGGGTTCATCATAAAATAGCCAAGCTAACCGCTCAACCACTTTCAATAGAACGTATACTTTACCGTATGAATTATCCTCAACTTCACTTTGTATCACTTGTTGATTTTGGGCAAGCAATACTTGTTCAACATTTAACCGGTATGCTTTTCACCTGTTTGATTTTTTCAACAGACTCTTAGTATTGTTATATATACATGAAGTAATTATGACTTTTTCCATATTTAAGGTGATACAATACTTCGTCGTCTTTTTATTAATCAAATTACACATCTTAATGCTGAAATCAACGATGATACAACAAGAGAATTATCCGACGAAAATAATTCAAATATATTTGAATTAATATTGTCTTTGGGTAAATGTCTAATTGATTTGACTTTTAGTCAATCATTTCGTGATAGAGAATTCGAAGTTCCAACTCTAAATATAACATCAACTGGTTGCGTATCTTTAACTCTAACCAAATTGAAAATTAAAGTAAATACTTTTGATGATTGTCTTTATGTTCTCGATGGACGTCTTCAATGCTTGTCTACATTCATTATTGATATATTTGAAATTTTCGATTCGTCAGCAATTATAGACAATACAGTAAGTATTAGTTTGAATAATTTATGTATACAAAATTTCAGTTTCAATTATATTGATGATTTCTTTTCCTTTGTAGAAAAAGTTACCCAAATTGATATGCTTCTCATTGACGTCGAAATGTTACACAAAATTTTATGAGAATGGGATTGTTTCATTATTACGTCGAATGTCAAATCTTGAAGAACTAACATTATTTCTTTCAATAGAAAGAACTGAACCGACTTACATCGTCGATGGCATTCAGTTACATGATGAAGTTCTTATTTTTATGCCACAATTAAATAAACTTACTTTTAGTATACACACTCTTGTTATCAATAAATATGTTACAATTGATCTTCCATCGAATGATGATATTCAACATAGTTTCATTAAAAGAAAATATCAATCAGTTGATTCATATGCCGATGATAAATTTACAAACAGCGAAAGCAGATGCCATATCTATTCACTTCCGTACCAATTTGATACTTTTCTTCATCTGGCCAACTGTTTTCAAGGTGGTATATTCGATAAAGTTCGATCGTTGGCAATGACCGATCAGCGTCCATTTGAACATGAATTATTTGATAAAATTTCTCGTGACTTTCCTTTTCTTCAGGAATTAATCGTGCTGAATTCTAAACCACAAAAAAATAAACAACGCACGTCTAAATTGATTACATTTTTTCATCTAGTCGAACTCGATCTTCAAAATGTACATACTGATTATGTTGAACAATTTCTCGTGGAAACAAACACTTGTTTACCTCGTTAGAAAAAACTAGATATCGAATATGAACAACTAGCAATTGTAACAAATAATTTCACTAATGGTGCTGCCCGTTATAACTGTAGTCAATTACGAAGAATCGTTATGCATGAACCATATATCCGTGGAGAAAATTTTCATTCATATTTTCCTTTATTGTAGATATCAGTTTTCTTGAAAATTGTTTCAATTCAGATATTTACCGTCATAAAATAAAATTCATTGTAATAATAATAACTAATAAATTACTGCCAATATCAATACTAGATAGATTCATGATAGGCGTAACATCGCGTTGAAAATGGTCTGAGGTAACAATTTAAATGTTTTTGGGCATAAAGTGTCTAGAACTTAGCAAAATCGAGCTCGAAACTAAACAATTTCACCCCTAGTTTCAACTAGAGCGCGGAAACGTTCAGAAATAAAAAGATCTGGATTCGATATATGTAAATCAAAATTTCAGTCATCGTTCTCAAGAAAAATATGATTAACAATTTAACATCAGTCATTATTGAATATCCTTTATATGTACGGAGTGTTGCTGAAAAATGATGTGCCACTTCACACTTTAAATGTGCAAAAAAGGTTTCCATTGTTACCTCAGTTTATTTTAAACGATGGTACACCTAACTAGACTATTAAAATTAAAGAAAGTCTCCTCCAGAAAAGTGATAGAAACCCTATTGATTCATCCATGTCACAATATTTTTTTCTTTTACTTGTTTTCGATTCAATCAGTCAGTCAATGTCGAATATTTCGGATTATATTAGTAGAAGAAGAAAAGTATGTAATTGTTTTTGATGTGGTACTAGCCAAATTTGATTAAATACATTATTTATTATAGTTAGTTGATAAAAATGAATTATGATCTTCAACTATTCAAAGTTGAAGATGTTCGATTAGATTAGTTTTGCTAGTCAAGAATCTAATTTATTTGATGCATCGGTTCGAGAAAATATTGTTTTCATTAATACATCGAAAGAAGTATCTATGGGGAAAAGTTCGTTAAGACAAATAGAATACAAACATTCATAAATCTATTGAAAATTTATAGAAACAATACGGAACAAATGTCGATTGAATACACAGAGGACTGCTTTGTAGTGAAAAGCGAAAGTATTGGTAAGACAACGAAACTATTTGTTACAAAAAATCCTTTTTATGTACTGATAGCTCGAGCACTGATTCATAATCAAAATCAAATCTTATAATTTGATGAAGCAAAAGGAAATCAAAGATTATTGAATGCAAATGTTTCTCTGACGACTGAGGACAACAAGCGCCATATATGTTTCACATAGTTTGCTAGCAACAGAAAAAGACATCAAACGACATTATAATTAGATTGCTCAAGGACATCCTAAGGTCTTTCTTAATATTTAAATAACAGAAACATTGCTTGTTCTGCTCGAAATAGTGCAGTGTCTTATTATTCTGCAAATAAACAATTATATTTACGATATCTAGTATGATGATTTCAGGATATATTGATTTATCATAGTCGTCATATATTCAACATTAAAAACATGAATTGATCAAGTTCTAGGTTCGTATATACTCTGTTTATATGCAGTATTTTCATCGTAAATGTTCTGTAGTACTCGACCTAGGTGACTGAGATACATAATAATAGTGTGTTGAAACCTGTTACAATTACAAAGTCTATATATGGTGTATTAGTTAAAGATGAATATCTATACTGCCTATATGTATTCGCTCATATTTTTCTCTATTCTTCACATATGTACATCTTCTAGGGCTTGGTTCTTTTGTTCTTCTGTCGATTCCATGTAATAAAAACCGCATGAAAATCGGCGGTTAACCGCGGTTTTACCGGTCCGGTTACCGGCTCTCATTACCGCAGAACGGATAAATACCGCGGTTTACCGCAAAGATTGATCCGGTATTCGCAACGTGGGATATCGCTACCCACCCACACCTTTTTGTCAACATGGTCCGACTTGACAATGGACATTGAGTGATAAATCATGTCTCTTCGAAAAAAAAATTGCATTTTTCATTATAAGTAATGTGATAAATTTGCCAGTTCACAATCAAGAAACTTCAAAATGATGTTTATGACTACTACACATCAGTTGTTATGAAGTTTTGAAAATTTCATGATTCAATCACCAGTGATACTACTCGCTTATTCACAGTTGAACTTAGCGACAGGACTGTTTTTTAATAATATACGTGTATTCGGTGTTCAGCTGGCGAACATTATGACACTGAATATATTTCAATTTTTCTTTTCGTTAACGAATCCACATTCGGATGACAGCATTTTGTGGAGATATCTTCGTCGTAGAAAATCTAGAAGAAAGTTGTTGCTATATCCATTCATAAAATTCATCTTGTGTCGACTCTGTATATTCAGTTGACGAGTCGTTTTGACAATGAATATTAGGAATTATATTATTTATCATAATATATTGCATTCTACCCAAAGATCGACCGCAGCATAACAATTTAATTTGATATACTGAGAAATTTCGACTTTCGAAAATTTTTATTAGAAGTATTGCCAAAGTTTTCCAACCGAGACGTTTAAAAATTGAATGTGAGATGGCGATGATACGTTGAATATACGAGGTTTATACATAGAATTATGTACGCAACTATATGATGGTAAGTCAATATCAGAGGGTAACATTGATTTTAACTGAATGGATAAATAAAAACGAAAACTATCAAAAGCATATAGTAATGGATAAAGACGTGCATATTCTTTGTTTAAATTCCAATCATATTGAACAAACCAATAATGTTCCTCAAGCCAGAAAATTGACTTCGAAATTTATTAAGTATACTATCAATCGGCTATTCTGCTTCCATGCCATTATTCAAACTAACTAACATTTTAAAATGCAAACGCTCAAGTTTTGTTAGACGATTCCGAATCATATGTTTCCATCTTTCTTCATTCACGTATAGATACTCATAATCAAATTCTACTTTTCAATGACGTAAATTAAGCATTTTGGTTAAAAAATTAAAGAAAACATCTCAATACTGAAAATTTCGTAGTGATATATGCAAGATAGTCATTGACGGTAAAATTGGCGTTGTACTCAGATCTACGTATATTTAAACAGTTGTTAGCTATAAGATGTTGCTGTATGTGTGAATAATTGACTTATTACAATGTCACATGGTTGCATACCAATGAACGACTAACATTTCTGTGTTGATGAAGTCACCGTTGGATGAATATAAATGCCTTTGTCACGACAGCATCTTTCTACACCATGATGCGATTATCGATATTTATAATCAACTTTAATACAACAGTAGATAAGTTTAGGCAAATTTCACATATCATTGACAAAAGATACAACTTTTTCGCAGTTCAATCTCAATGGAAAATAAAATTCATCTTCATCCGAGTGACACAGTGAAGTTATTCGATCGATCATGCGTCTCAGATTTTCTTGGCAGATAATGTCGAAACGATAATTGAGACTATGAAACGCGTTAAAATTTTGAGATGTAGTAAGGTATGTGAATAGATCAAGTAATATCTCGTTAGCCAATGATTCGAATTGTATGTGTATATTATACATTTGTACTCTGTTCTAGAATAGCTCGAACACGAATAAAACAACGATTATAATATTTTTAATTAGCAGAGAAAAATAAGGAATGACATGCTTCTTTTTCTTAAATTCCACGTGTATGTTGGCAAGAGAAGGATGGTAAAAATGCTTCTTTGGAGAGCTGCGTTGTAATCTCATCTTATGTTTCATTTATGAGTCATTCCTACAATTGAAACAGAATTCATATGCGTGCCTTCACACTGCTACGATTGAAATATGCTTTCGTAGGCACCACAATTTTTCCTTAGTAAATAATAAACGATAGTTCAAGTTTTACAAGTATCTGAACAGTATATAGATACGGGAAAATGTTTGATATTTATTTTTTACATTCTAAACGAAGAAAAAATGCTACGTGGGAAACAAAAGAAAATGAACACGAATTCACATGATTAAGGCATGTTAGAAATGGAATATTGAACTTGTTGAATGGTCATAGCTTTTTTGGCACCAATAAATCCAGCCAATTTAAAAGCTAATTTTACCATGATTATCTATGCAGTAAAATAAATATAAAAGCAATACAAACAAATCAAATAAATTACTTACCATTAGAATAAAATCAATTGTGTATAATACAATGCAAAAAATAGGAATCATTCGTTTCCTAATCACCTGATCCGTGCTAGATCGATATTCATTCGAATACATGTTAGAGACCGATTCTAGCCATTTATACATAAAAGCAAGCCCGATAAGGCCTACAATGGAAAGAGCTAACATTGCCAATTGAAATATGCCCACAATACCAATCTAAAGTTAAAATATGAAAATATAAACTGTATAGAGAATATGGCATCGCAAAAGTAATCTAACATATAATTTTAGCTGTCATGTGTGAACTCTTATATGCAATACTATACAATAGAAAAGGCAATAAAACGTCGTTTTAAGGATTAAAAATAAGTATTTTAAAACAGTATGAAACAAAGCTATTCCCTCTTCACTTGATGGTTGATCTCGTCCTATCCCAAATAACATTCGAATTATTATTCTGTTCAATTTATTATCATATCGTAGTTAGATTTTCTAGCAACAACACTAAATCCACGAATAAAAGGTTGTGTTTTATTGTAGCATAGCAAATAAAACGGCATTCATAGTTAAACGAAGTAAGAGTAATACTCTCAATGGGAATATTCTTGAACAAGCGCTTTTCGATGTAATCTCTGAAAATGATTCATATATTTAAAAAAAAAGAGAGAAATCTTACCACTCGCAAACCTATTTCAGAGTATCGACAAGCAGCCAACAATCCTAATCCAAAATAAAATATTCCACACAAACATACAGCAATGGTTTCATAACGACCATTATGTAGTAAACACACATAGAAAGTATTTGTAAACATCGAATTAATTAAAACAAATACATTAAAAACCTAAAAGCAAAATACAGCAACTGATATTTTCGTTACACGTATGAATCAATATGTTAACGGCACATCTAAGGATATGAAATTTATTCGGGAGACACTGACGAATTTAATTAGATATAAAGAAATAATTTGATTAAGTCAGATTATATTTAGATTAGCGACTTTTACTTCGCTTCAATGCATGAAGATCATGTTCGATGAACTCGAATAAATTTCATAGTTTCATTTTTTTTTCTTTTGGAAGAACTAATTGTTTCAATAAAATAACACTTTGACTTGAAATAATAGTGAAAAAAAATTTTTTTTAAATACTCACAATGCAAATACCAAATAGAATCGCAATATTTCTGCGTGTTCGTCTTATTTCAGGCTCTCCATCCAATTGCAATTGTTTCATAAGAGCCAAATTCGGAATAATCTTCGTAGCCGGTTCGTCCTTACCTTGAGCGACTTGCATTTCAATAGTGTTGAGTTTTAAATCTAAAATAGAATGGGAAGATAAAAGCAATATTGATAAATTTGCACTAGCCTATGCGAGTAGTCGTCAACGATCAAGAAACTATTGTTTATAGAGAGCTTACATTTCGATGCTCCGCGAAGTTTGAAATTTCAACTGAATTTTTTTGAAAAATTACTCTTACTAGCTTATAGATGAAATTTATTTTTTTTAAAGAAAAATTTGATCTACGACACACTTTTATCTAATCTTTCGGTTCTGTTTTTCAGCAATGTCTAAAAGACATATTTATATCATTGGAATTTGATGAAATATGTTCCTACTTAAAATTAAAATAGATATGACTAGATCTATAGTCAAAGCCTTGAAATTAAATCAAGGCTTATCAGCGCCCATCGTTTATCTCAGTTGCAATGTTAGTTTACAAGAGTTTTATAACAAAAAAAGAGCATTCTTACTCGAACAAGTATCATCTGAATATATCAAATTGATTCATTGTATTGCTCTTTGAATAATCAAACTCACAATAGTATTTTCTTTTGATATCGAATATTAATATAGTAAAACAGCTAAAGGTCTTCAGTCAATAGATTTTTCTCTTGTCAAATGCTAATATTTACAATAAATATAACTCGAACTATATTCCATAGTTTTTTCGAAGAGTACATTCACATATTTACACGAATTCACCGAGTTTCGGACTACTTAGCTGTTCATCTATTAGTTTAATCTAAAGTATTTTCCCAAGTTAAAAAGTAATTCAACAAATTAATTAAACTCAATCGTTAGTCTAAAATCAGAGAGAAACATCTTATATAAAAATCAAACAACAAAAGGGTTTGTCATTCAAGTTTATTTCTTTGTATATCATTGCATCAGCAGATTTGTTTTTTCATCAACAGAAAAAGGCACATCATGAATCTTCTATAGAATGGGAAATTAGCGATTTCAAATATTGCTTTTTGTGTTGTTTTCAATGGTATGTGGAAGGAAGTAAACTAAAATGACACAAGGAAAAATATCCAAATCGTATATTTAATTAATTCGTAAATTAAAACATTCAATTTTTGTGATGAAATCATCTTACTATGTGAACCAGCTTGTCAAAATAGATACTACTAATATACGTACAAAAAAAATGAAGTGAATATGTATGAAGGTGAATGAAGACTTTTTTGCTTGACCGATGAACAAACACGACGCATGAACACGTGAGTATTGCTTTTTTTCCTTTTCTTGTGTTAATGTTTCAAGGATAATAGAGCCACCAATGAAACTAATACTATTGGTCAATCAAATTGAATAGGTCAACTCATTCGCATTCTTCGTACGTAGATTTCAAGATAAAATGTGCATAAATCAAAGGAGGAAAAGCGTTTTTCTGTATATCTAAAACGAAGAAATACGTTCGATTCTATTAGTTTTTTTTAATATCCATAATGCATAATGGATCCTGCAGCATGTCATATCAGTGGCGGATCCAAGAAATTTTGAAGGAGGAGGTGGACGCGATCAAGTTATTGACGTTATTAGTGATGAAGTTTTTAGCATTTTTATTATCATCTGTTCAAATGAATCAGAAACATAGCCGTTGATTATGCTACCATTTCTCTACAAATACTCATCATCTGTATGACATGGATAGACGTCGTACCAGAAGAGAAAAAAAACTTGATACTAGAAATAAAATTATTAAAGCATGTCTATCTAAGTTATTATTCTTTGATCGAATCTTTAATTTTAAAATACAAGCATCATAAATTTGAAAATATTGATTAAAAATTTTTCTCAGAGCCCAGAAACACTTTTAAAGAACGAAAAACATCGAAAAATGCTTCCGCAATATATAGTTGTTTATTACAAAGAAAGTCCTCATATGGTATTGAAATAATTCATCTAGCATAAAATTGAATAAACAGAAGAGTATATCATTAAAAAAAATTATTTGGCAAATTTGTTATCTCCAATAGAAAAATAAATGTTTGGTTCCGTATCTCACAGAAAATCTGTGCCCTATTTCAAATGATATCGTTCGATAGAGAACTCATCAAGCCTTGATATTAATATAAAATATTTAATTTCTGCCAATCTCTCTGTCTGCATAGAATGTTTTTGTCCAACTATGATCGAAAGCGATGAAGTGTGCATACACATCAGACAATATCATGAAAGCATTCAGTTCAGCCTTTATAAAAATGTAGAAAACTTCTTTTTTTGTGCTACGAAATTGAATTACTCGTACTGTCTACAACTTGGATTAGAAGAATGCATGGTTAAATTAAATGAAATCTTCTTCAAGTTTAAACCAAAAGTAGCGAAACCATTTTGCAATACCTTCTGTTCTAAAGCTTCTATAGTTTTGGTCAGCCATTTTCAATGATATTACTTTGTAAATTTTTGCGCTACATATGTTGCTATTTCTAAAAAACAAAAGAGTAATCTCTCCGATATTCAATTATAGCGCCATATCAAAAAAATCAAAATTAATGCAGAACTTTTGAGTCAACCGTTAGAAAACAAATTCCATGAATTTCGAAGGAGTGGATGGGTGCCCTGACAGCACCACCGTAGATCCGCTCCTGTGCCATATGAGACGAATATTTCTTTTCATTGTAAGATCGAACGATCCATAGCTATAGTAAGGAGTCAATGATGAGTGTGCGCATTAATTTTATAAAACTAAATTCCTTCATACATGACGTGCCAGTCTACAGTTTCAATTCTGGCAAAGAACTAAGCACTGAATAATAGTTATTCGGTGATGATGTGAGAAATGTTTTCATTATTTGTACATGCAGTAAGAATTCAAATTGTAACAATGCAAGCATCATCTTATATGCTGATCTTAATTAAATTCTACAATTATTTCAAGGATGAATTGTATATTCAAGTTTGTTTTCTTGAATCATAATAAATATTTTCGTAGTTTTTTCTTCAAACAGAATGCTTTTTCTTAGTAGGTTACGAAGAATTGCTTGTTCAATAGAACTAAAAATATGAATTGTAATAAATAGTAAAACTTATAAAGTGATTACTAGTACTAATCGATGTTACTCTTTTCATTAAAATTATATTTTTATTTCAGAAAAAAGAAAGTTAGGGTCACAATACTTTTGATCACCAAATTTTCTTAGCATTCATGTCACATTATTTATTTTTCAACAAAATGAGGTAGATACAATTTTACATCTACTTACACATCAGACAAAAGCAGATATTTTTAAAACTTCAGTTAAATCTGGATGATGCGGGTATTGGTATGATCTTTATCCATACACTCACACCAAATATAATTCAATTTCCTCTTCGTAATCGAGATTTAGTTACATTGAAACTAGTTCTGCTTCGATACGCTCAATCCAATTTATATTCCGAAGAACTTCAGGGTGATCCGATGGAAGAATTTTGATATGAATATTGTATGCTCTCTGTACACAATTCAAGGCTTCTCTCAAGTTATTTTGACCGTACAGAGCTGCTGCTAAGTTAGAATAAGTTGTAGCTATTTCTATGTGATCTGGTGGAAGGGAAGTTAGTTTGATTTGAAGCGCGGCGTTTAAATGCTCAGTTGCCTTTTCGTAGCCACGAGCGGCAACATAAACTAATGAAATGTTGTTGTAAGTTGTAGCCAAGTCAGGATGGCTAGGTGGAAGACTGTTCAATTGAATTTCAAGAGCTCTATCATAGAATTCTAATGCTATTTCGAATTGTCCTTTATTATAATATGCTAACCCAAAGTTATTGTAGGTTACAGCTAAGGATGAATGACTTGGAGGGAGATTATTGAGTTGAATACCAAGTGATTTGTTTAAGTATTCAATTGCCTTATCATAATCATTTCGAGCATAGTGCACTTGCGATATGTTAACATAACATGCTGCAAAGTTACGGTGGTCTCGACGATGGAGTTTTAATTGAATTTCTAGAGATTTCTCAAATAATTCTAGAGCCTCTTCGGTTTTGCCTTGTCTAAAATATACAGTGCCAAGTTGATTGTATTGGGCTGCGAAATCAGAGTGAATTTCCGAATCAGAATTTTGGGTTATTTCAAGAGATTTCTGTAAATACTCAAGTGCTCGCTCGTATTCACCGAGTGAGTCATAGACTAACGATATATCAGCGTACAATAGTGCGAGCCTCATATGGCTAGCCGAAAGAACTTTTAACCAGATTTGTAGAGTTTTTTCGTACATTCCTAATGCGTTTTCGTATTGAGCTTGCCGGTAATACTCCTTTCCCAAATTGCGATAAATTGGTGCAAAATCTGGATGATCTTCGGAAACACCAGAAGTTATTTGTATCTGAAGTGCTCTACTTAAGTATTCCATTGATTTTTCATTGTCATCGTTTGCAAAATAAACTGATGAAATGTTATTGTAACATACAGCAACTTGAGGATGATCAGGCGAAAGGGCTATTAACCATATTTCTAGAGCTTTTTCATACAACATCAGTGCTTCTTCGAAATTACCATTTTCACGCAACAGGGAAGCCATGTTGTTATAAGTTGCTGCTATATTTGGATGATTCGATGGTAAGGAAGATAGTTCAATTTCAAGCGCTTTATCAAAATATTCAAGTGATTTAGTAGAATCACTATATCTGTCATAATTTGCACCAATGTTGTTATACGTGCATGCAATATCAGGATGATTAGCAGGAAAATTTTTAAGTTGAATTTCAAGTGATTTTTCATACATTTCGAGAGCCTCTTTAAATTTGCCTTGTCTATTATACAATTGACCTAAATTGTTATATACAGTAGACAGTGATGGATGATCGGAAGGAAGTGATGTGAAGTGATTTTGAAATGCTGTCTTCAAATAAGCAATTGCCTTTTCGTACTGGCCAAGTGCATTGAAGACTTGCGAAATATTAATAAGCGATGTTCCCATGTCCGGATGATTAGCAGGTAAAACTTTCAGTCTTATTTCAACAGATCTTTCGAACATTTCTATTGCTTCAGTATAACGTTTTTGCACATTAAAAAGGTTTCCAATGTTACTATAGTAAGTTGCAATAGCTCTTTGATTCGGATTGGTCGTATTCAGCTCAGTTTCTACTGCTTTGGTGTAATATCTGCATGCTTCATCATATTTTCCTTTGTCGTTATAAATGCTTCCTAAATTATTGTAAGCTATTGCTGCGAAATTCTCGGTTTCAGGGGAGCACTCTAGTTTAATTTCAAGCATTTTTTCAAAATATTCGATAGCTTTTTCATGTTGACTCATTGCTTGGCAAATGAATCCAAGATTGTTGAAAACAGTGGCGAGATTAACTGGATCGCATATAAATGCCTGATCACTCAGTAATATGCGATTGTACCGCTCCGCTTCTTTATTACTGCCCATTCTTATCAATAAAGTTGCTAAGCTCTCGAGCGGATTCGGTGTCACTATATCAAGCTTTATAAATTCACTTAGCATTCGAAGTTCTTTGTCTTCTTCGTCTGTAAGTCTTAGTATGACATTCCAATAGCCGTCTTCTTCGTTTAGATGTACCGACAATATTCTAAATACAGATCCCATTGTAAACAAAATCTCACCTTCTGCTTCATCAAATGCACTTTCTGTAGAAATATTAGCATATGGAAATTTGTTAACCTGTTGATCAATATCGATTTGAAACAAAATACTTTGTTCTGCAGCCGTTAAATTGCTGCTGCTGCGATTACCAGCATATATTTCACGAGCCAAGTTTTCATGTATGGTTGTCGAAAAAAAACTGCTTACGGAGAAGAATCCATTAGTGTTATACAGAATTTTTCGATTGAATTCTGCAGTACTCATTAGCTGCCCTCGATAAACTCTTATTATTCGTTCATTACTTGCATCCGGCGTAGGCTTCGTGTAGTCTGTAATGCATGTTGTTGTTAGTACTAGCTGTTGTTTTTGTGTGTTATGTCGTTCTCTAATCTTTAAATGAAGATCTTTGATAAAGTACCGTAGTGAATATAGTGTGTCTATGTCTTGTTCTCTCAATGCCTTGTTTAATAGACGATAAAGAAAAGTATTGCGTGTATACCAGAATATAGCATTAATTGCATCATAATACTCTTCAAATTCATCGACAACATTTAAATCTGCATCATTGCCAGCACACTTTTCACGGAAATATTTAATAATCTCTTCTTCTGTGGATTTAATGTCAATTAAAATATCTCGCGAAAGTAAGGCATACATGAACTCGGCTTCTTGGCGCCTGATTACGTCCGTAGTGGACTTTGCAAATAAAAGTTGATTAATTGCGGTGGCGTTCAATAATATAGACAGGTCATCAGTGCATGTCTGCGAAAGAATACTTATATTCATTTGACCAATACAGGCTCTTCGTTTTCTCTTCAAATATGGTGGTAAGTGACATAAATGAGCGCATAATAGCTCTAAATTCGTGTAAATCCTACATGGTACTATGGATGATGTCTCTGAGATCGGGTCAGCAGAGTAACGTTCATATGGTGCCGTCCACCAGGCCATATAGTCTCCGTCAGTTCTCCACGGATATTGTTTTTCCATCGGCCTGTACCAAATATCACTCGATAGTAATGTATGTACAGTAAGAAGGACTTTTATAACCAAAGAAGTAACTGTCCACGCAAAACTACACTGATTCAAATATAGTACGTAGACTGTGCTAACCTGTGAAAGTTCTTCCGTTTGTTGTAAGAATGTTTTCAATAAGTGAGATGTCGTTGAAGTTGAAATAATCAGAATCACTTTATCATCATTCTGATTAAGATTTTTAATATAATTAATACATTTGTCCATGTTCCGAAATGTCACTAAATTCGGGTCGATCTTGCATAAAGATAGATGAATTACAGTTTTACTTTTTGATGTAGCCTGTTTGTACACAAGATCAAGCCATACAGTATGGACATTTTCTGTCATTCTTGATTACTAGTATGCACTATTGCCGTGATATAATTCAAGCTAGCCAATAGTTCGATGCGGTACTGTTTCAGTACGATAATGTAACTGTTTGCAAGCACTTGCTCCTTTCTGTATGCCAATGATGAATCTTGGTTTTTTCCAAGCACTAAAATAAACTTGAACAACAGACAGAAGAATAGTGTTGCCTTTAGTTGCTGAAGAAAAAACACAAAAACGCCCATAAAAGAATTTTATCGTCATTATAACAGAACAGAAAAAACTCTGTATGTGTGTAAGACGCGCATTCACTGATCGATGATTCAAAGTCAGCGCAAAGTGAAAAGCTAAGCCAGCCTTCACTCAGAAACTTCTATTTTTTGTTTTGAAAAAAAAAGGAGAATCATTTATTTTTAATTGTGAAAAGATGCAATAATATCTCCTCCTACAAAATATGTACAAGTTTCTGATCAAATATCAGATTTTAGCAGAATTTCGAAATAATTTGTTCACCCTACTATTCATATTGTATACAATCACCAGTAAACCACCCTAAATGACTGTAAAATGGGGAACACCAACTGCCGTTACGATGATAGTTAACGTACTAGCGAAAACAGCTGGCATTACGGTCATCTTTTTTTTACGGTGTCGCATTGTTTTTCATCGTATCAGCACATGTATCGTAAAATCATTAGTAAAGCTCGCTAATGATCCATATAGTTCAACCACTACCTATTCAAACGATTATTAATATTTTTTATGCATATTTCTTTCACCATTTAGTTCAATAATAAGTATTTGAAAAAATAATTGTATATATATGGTTTAGTTATATTTATAGTAATGATTATATCAACAATAAGTATTTTATTTAAATACACAAATCTTGTTTCTTGGGTTTACGGAAGGGGAGATGTAGAGAAAGAATGGTGTAACTAAGACGCTATAAGGTCAGGATGTGGCTCTGATACTAATTATCATTTTTCATCAGAAACAACTTTGAATAAAGTGGCCTCAGTATTTCAAGGATAACGGTGAAAACCAGCGATTATGATTTTTATAGGTTGGGGCAATTGTTACCCCGCTTTCGGCCGTTTAAGTCGCTGTTTCAGACGGTCGGAGTCATCAACCTGAGTCACTCATGGTTTGAGAGATTCTCCCAAATTTAAAATTTTGCGAACATCATCTTCTTACATCCATATAGGGGTAACATTGTCCAGTTACTTTATTTGAAATATAAACTCTTGTCATTTGAAATATACGTTAAGTTTTCAGAACTTATTTCTTTACTGAATAAATTTTTATAAATGTACCATTCATGGTATCCACTAGTACTTGATAAATATTGTTATAATTTGGTTAGTAAGTTGAGCATAGTTAAACTGAGCGTCTTTCAATCGAAAACCGATATTATGTGCTCTAAGGGTATATATCCCTACGTCTTGCACACATATATCTGTAGAGCGACAATGGTAGTCTTTCACCAATTCCTGCAGTCTTATCCTTAGGTAGCCTTTCTATTTATTCATACTTCTTGCCACACTAATTTTATTTCTTTGCTGTCTATTGCACCTTAATATGCATTAACAGTTTGGAAAATAATCAAGTATTTTAGCAAATTATTAGACCAATTATCCATTGCAGAATAAAACATTGAAAAATCCGATCATATATGATATTTTTCAATAGAATTCCATTAAAACATAAATGGACACGGGCATACGAGTTTGTTGTCACCCCACCCTTAGATACTGGCTTATTTCTCGACATCATGAGATGTATGCGTCGCCATTTAGCTACTTTATTCATTGAAAAAGATTGATAGAATATTTCGTGTTACGAAAAGCATTTTTTCAGCAGCGAAATGATTCATAGATGGAAAGTACATCGTGTTTTAAGTAAACGGGTTTGATATCATGTTGTCCACGATGAACTGTAAAACGTTTGCTCTACTAGGTAAAGGTACTGCTTCAACTGGATGTCGGCATACAGGACACTTGTATCCTGCTCGTAAGACATTTAACATACAATTAAAATGAAATGAATGCTTGGCGTCACAAGGCCATTGACCGATGCGTTGATTTAATTTGAAATCGTCGAAACATACGTTGCATGTTTCATTAGACAAATTATCATTAACTGTTTGAGGATCAGTCAAACGAAATTCTGCAATAAAACGGGGTGATGCTTGTGTTCTACCTTGCAATATCCGGGCAATGTTGTTTCCATAGTGATGTTGTTGATATTCAGCTTCCTCCTCAATAAGATGTTGAAAACGAAGTTTTCGTTCTTCTTCCTGAGCGCGTCGAGCCTCTTCTTGAAGACGTAACAGCTCACATCGTCGCCAACTAAAAAGATAGAAAATTCGAATTCTTTTTATCATCGTAGCTTAAGCAAATATTCAAGTAAATACTTATATCGATATTCATCATTAAGAATCATCAATTTTTCATGTAACCAATATGCTGGATTGAAATGCCAAGTGTTCATGTTTTCAGGAAAATAAATACATTGACTACAGTAGTGTTTTTCAACCACAATGTGGTCTGATTCGATCTTACTAATAGAATTGATAGGAATAATAGTGAACGGAGCTTTTTCATAAAATTCTCGAAGAATCTGAGCAGAGTCTTCATCTAAATCTAACATCAACATGACGAGATATTTATCTCGCACTATAAACAGAGAGTCATTAAAATTATTTTCATGAAACGTATCTAACAAAAGACTGTCTAAGTCTGCTACGGAGGTAATATTTAATTTTTGTATTTGTTCTTGAATGAAAGGATGTAACATTGGCGATAATGCACGAAGATATTTAATGATGGCTCGTATGAGATTTGGAAGATACTTGAACATAAAATATATGAAAAAAACAATCACAAAATAAGATGTATAGGGAGTATAATTGCACGAAGCATCAAAGACTCGAACATCATCGTGAAATCTATGAGGTTCATATGAATGCCCAGGAAATATATATTCACTTGTAGGCTTATAAAGATATCCAATTATAATACCACATTTTTTTTATTACTTTTTTGTTGAACACTTTGGGATTTTTATTGTAGATCTCTTCAATATTTTGAATATGCTTTGATTCTTCGGACCAGCGTGAAAATTCGCTTGACGGAATGTTAAGTTGTCTGGCAATGCATCTTAATGTATTCATGTTAAACGATTGAAAATTATATGGATATCGTATTTGAGAGTAAGATTGCTCATATGAAGCAAATTTAATATACAATGCCATTTGTGATCTGTCAATTGCCGGCGGTAAGACTTGATTGAATAAATATAACAATACGCCATGTGAATAATGTCCATAAAACATTCGCGGTGTGTTTGCCACTGTTTCATCGATTACATTTTCATCCAATTCAATTTGGAGATAATCAGGTTGGAAATAAAGCCAACGGAATGAAAATAAAGAGTTATAACCAAACAAATTATAGTTAGTTTTTAAATGATTTCTAAATTGATTCAGATTCATTGGAAATGGGCCCTTCCATGCATTGTATACTCGATTACAACATTGAAATATCAACAATATAGCAATATAAAACACTGCGCTACTACATGCTATTTGAATGTACTCAATGCGTATGTTTATAGCATCTCGACGTCGTTGGTTATTAATACGTCTCAATAGTGATGAGCATGGTGATCCATTTCTCATAGTTTGCTACAAAACGTATTATTTCATGCGTGTATAGGAGAAAAATAACGATAAGGTGAAAACAATGTATATGCACTCAGATGATGACGCCAAATGAAATCTATTTTTTTTCTGTCCACGCTCTTTATACAAATTTTTAAGGAAAGATGAATCAGCATGGCGAAAGTAAACAGTTCGCTTTGAAATGCAGTTCTCGATGTTTTTCTGAGTCATCTATGACTAAGAAAGTTAGAAATCAGAAACTACTTCCGTTCTGTTGATTTCATGCAAAAACCAAATGAATCAGGTTTAAAAATAGAGATTATATGTGCTCGAATTTTTTGAAGAAATTCTTTACTTTCGAAACTAAAACATAGGAAGAAGGGTTGGCCGTCATAATGTCGAAAGGAAAATGTCGACAGGAAAAATGTCGAAAGAAAAAAATATCGAAAGGAGAAATGTCGAAAAAAATATTTTTGATATGAAAGATCGTCAGTTGATAATTTAGAGAATTGTAAATAATATAATGTATGTTTTTTGTATGAAATTAAGCTGAAATGTTAAGGGTGAAAAAATTCTTTTTTAAATGTCATTTTTTCATGAGCTTCACGAACCTCAAGTTTTTCTTTTTCTGGAAGATGACTATGCTTGCAAATAGTTTTCATTAATCCATTATTTGAACCAGTATGCACTTTAGCTGCGTAACCATTAATAGTGCATATCCAATATTTAGTACTTGTTGTTGTTTTATTCAATTTAAAAGTATACTCATCCGCAACTAGTAGAGGTTTTCGTTTATATGAATTTATAAATTGAAATTGAAGGAGTTTTGCTTGAATTTCACTAGTTAAAGTTACGAAAGCTTCAGCCATGACAGTACAATTTTAGTTATATAATAATTCTTTGTTCAACTCTTTCATTTTGCTTGTATTAATAGTTAGTCATCCCTATCAATACTGGCTAAAATTCTACACTAGTAAAATTATAAGAAAAAACAATGAGCTAAATGGGATTAGAATCGCCATATACTGGAGACATCATTATTTTCTTATTTTTCACTTTTGACTTTTTTCCCCTTTAATATGTACGTTTCGACATTTTTCCTTTCGATGTTTTTTCTTCACTTTTTCTGTTTTCGACATTTTTCCGTTCGACATTATCCCAGCATACCGGAAGAAGCAGCATATTGCGCATAGTTAATCGTGTATTTTACGTTATTAGAAAGCTTTTTATCATAGTAACACATTTATTCAAGTCTAATTCGTGAATCATTTGACAAAAAAGTCTTGCAATATACAAATAACATTGTTATTCATTAAAAACACATTTTATAGTCTTTTTCGTTACCTGATGAAGCGCAATAAACATTGACATCTTATCAACTTTTATCAACATGCAAATATTTACTCTCAATAATGATTTGCGTTGTTTTACAGAGATTTTTAAAGATTTGAGCTTTTCTTTTAATTGAAAATTGAAGACAATATTGCCACATGATTAGTCTTATATCGAACGTTTGATATTGAATTAGTCCCCATCGTTTTTGGTTCTGACAATTTTAAATTAATGATCTGCTTAAAAGTTTTAGTTTCTTTCATCCAAAATAAGGCAAACTGATTTATAAAGAGTAAAAGACTTTGTTCGCTACCAAAATGCAATTGAATTGTTATATTTTGTTTTATCTTATATAGCATGCATTACTTGGCAAATAAAAGAAATGATAAAAAATCTTTGTAATACATAAGTGCTTTAATTCTTTCAACAGAAGCTTTCAGTTAAGAGTTTTAAGAATACCGTTAAGTTTTGAACCTCAAAAACATTTATGAAAATGTTCAAGTCTCGGTCTGATTCCATTATATTCCTGGCCCGATGAGCTCTACCCTCATACCACCTATGCACTCCAGCTAAATTAGAGTACAATCAAACCTTTTCTGTTTTCTTGATAGTGTTTATCTAATTAGTTTCTTGTCAGCCAGTTCACTACGAGCATTTTTTATCTTTGTCATTTCAAAATCTGACGAATTCAAGAAAATTTTATTATTTATCAAAACTATCGAACACCCACCGATCAAAAACTCATCGACTTGTATCTCTATCCACACCCCACATCCACCCAACAAAATTAGGAGTAGATAGAATCAACTGCCATTAGACCAACCATTCGAACGGTGTTGTGTATTCATCATAGAAGCAACACTCGCACGACTGGCAGATCTGTAATGGGCATAAGTCGACATTCGGTGATTCATGATGTTATTCGGATCATCATTATCGAGAGCATTCAATGGTTGAATGTCATCCATATGCAAACGATTGAGATATGCCTTACGAAAGAAAACAATCATCGGATTACGAGCTAATAATAGACCCAAATGCCATTTACGAATGGCTCGTAAAGATCTATTTCGTTCTTCCTTTGACATTGTTATACGCTGTCGATTGTTTTGAATGGCTACACCAATCAATATATCATCATGTACGAATTGTTTAATTTTACATTGTCTTAGAATATGTGAAACAAATACTAACATTATAGGATGACGATGAACACATTCAGTATGAATAAAACCACAATAAGCGCTAAAACCACCATCGAATAGTTCTAATTTCCGTCCCAACGGTGAATAGTCTAGTCGGCACATGTAAACCAGGCCGGCAATAACACTCTTGATCAGTCGAATAATTGATGAAATGAATCCGAGAAAGGCATCCAAGAAGAAATTGAAATAGATAAAAATCAGCAAAAGTCGACGATTTGGTAAATTCCAGCTTCGCCGAATCTTTTTTTCGCCGACGATTATTTTCGCCGACTCCAACTTCGCCGAATGTAATTTTCGCCGACGCCTATTTTCGTCGACTCCAACTTCGCCGAATAAAAATCTTGACCGAAAAATATCGAATCAAATTTGATCCATTCTAGATATAGAATTTTATCCTAACTAACTACTTTAATAGTGACTTGATTAATTAATCAAGTCACTATTAAAGTAGTTAGTTAGGATAAAATTCTATATCTAGAATGGATCAAATTTGATTCGATATTTTTCGGTCAAGATTTTTATTCGGCGAAGTTGGAGTCGGCGAAAATAGGCGTCGGCGAAAATTATATTCGGCGAAGTTGGAGTCGGCGAAAAAAAGATTTGGCGAAGCTGTACTAATTCGACGATTTTTCATGGCAAGCACTTTACCAGCATGTTGAAGGAAAACGTATTGAGCTAGGATCTTATTTAGATATGCCTTGAAATTAATTAACAAAAGCGAAGGAATAATAGTTTTGAGAATTGACTCTAAGAGTTGAGCATTGCGATAGACAATTAAAGCCTCGAAAGAAATCCATAGAAGACTTGCAAAAACTGCAATGAGAATATAACCCCAGATAAGATAACCAATAAAGTATCCAGCGAAATACATATTTCCAGTGGCATATGAGATATATTTTGATGGTTTTCGTCGTGGAATTTCGCTATCATCTCCACGAAATGATTGCAATAGGATTCGATGAATGTTTGCTAGCAATACAAGCGACTGAACGACTATGATGAGCACAGTTGTTACTACTGCTAATGCATAGGGTCGTTCTAAGTTTGGCACTGGAAATTGAGAGTTTGTTGGTTTACTTTCCGTAGCTGAAAACATAATATCTTCATCGGTATTGTCGAAAGATGACAGAAGATCGAAAAAATCTTGAATTATTTTTTGGATAGAATGTAAAGTTGGTAGAATTTGTACACACGCTTGCACAGTGATGAAAAATATCAGAAGAATCGTTGCTGAATAGACACAGAGAACACGGGCAGAAAAATAGAAATCATCTCGCCATTCGTAGATCCATTTTGGTATAAGTCGACCAAACCGATGCTGAGTACATAGTCGTTGATCGGGTGAACGGAAAAGATTTTGTAGATAGAGCATTTCAGACGAATCTGGCTGCGATGCGCGTAATATTACGCGTTCTTCGCGGGTCAATTTCAGTAAAATTTGATCTTCAAGAGACAATGAGTCTTTTCTCAGCTGTTTATAAATCTTACTGATCAATAAAGCTGGCAATTTTATACCAACATAGGCCAAACACAAGAATCTCGGAATATCAGTACATAGTTGAAGAACTAATAGCTGTGAGTCTGTACCATAATACTCGAGTTTCTCAATCAATGAACTGTCATTATCTGAAGTGTTATATTCGTCAAGAGTAAAATAGTAATCCGATGTACACATCGCTTGATTGGCGATGGTGATAGAAAAATCGAGCCAGGCATATATTGTGCCACAGGCCAATGCTAAAGCCGTATCGAGATAGACTGTGGCCAAGAGTGGGTAATAACGAAGGCCAATAATCACAACTTCGAGGATGCGTTCAAGATATTGGAGAATGATGCCTTCCCTGTTCGTCGATGAACGATTACTAAAAAAGCGTCTGACAATATCAAAAAGTTCATCAGCACAAATGGCAAAAATCATGGACGCAAATTTCCGGTCGATATGGGAGAGAAAATCGACTGGTATGGGCGGTGCCACATATCCATGGCATTGATGAGGTAATAACGAGATCCTTTTTGTTATCACAATGCAGATGAGTATCAGACAGCAAGCTACAGGAAATGTTATAACATTAAATGAGTTCATACTCATAATACTGCATATATGATTCGGTACGTAGTAGAGTGGTAGATTATTCTTATATTGATAGATAATTGTATCATGAATAGGCTTCAAAAGGGAACATTTGACGATAAGAGCCAATGTTGCCAGCATAAAAGTCAGTAGTAAGATTATAAACGGCCCTATACGAATTGATTGTTTGGCATTTTTCACGATTATCCTAAATATTTTCAAATCGTTGAACTGACTCTCACGTAAGAAACAGGGTTAAAACAAAATATCGATAATACAATCAAGAAAAATGTTTACTTTTTCTTTGTATTTTTCTTCGGTTTGTTTGTTTTGTGAGAAATGTAGTAGAAAATGTTCAAACCGTAGAAAACAATGAGGAATGCACCTAAAATACAGCCGAGTGCGATTACTTGTTTTCCACTATTCGTCTCTAAAATAGAAAAGTATTGAATGGTTTTCGAGAATGAATGTATGGCAAATTTACGTTCATCGCACAAAGTACCATTCCACCAAAATTTACATCGGCAACTCCATTCACCATCTATATTATCAACACAGTATCCATTCGTACCACATGGATTATGTATCGAACAATCTGAACAATCATTTTTAAATGAAAAAAGCATTTTATTTTTGCTGTAACTGCTCACTCGGTTTATCATTGATCACTGACTCCATTGCAAATAACACAAAGTGGCAATATGCCAAAGATGCTTTCTATCACCTGATCAATATTTGACAGGGGTAACAAAAACAATAATCAATACTAGATTCATTCACGTTAAAGCGCTGCTTTCTTCGTTTCTTTCGATTGTCCTCATTATATACATTGATGATTGTTTCTCCTTTTGCTATTGCTGAAACTTCAATATGAAATAACAGCGATTGCCAGACAGATTATTTCATGTGCCTTAATGCAGTGATGAAGTATAACATAGGCAAAGTGAAGTGTCGCGTTCACTACTCTTTTTTATGTACAACAAAATATCATAGATTACAGGGTGATGATACAAAAACTAAAACGTACCGTGCTCTATAATAAAGACACAGTAATATTAATTCATGTAAGAACTTTGAGATTTGAATAATATTGGAATATAAGAGCGTCAACTCATTTCGAACTTAGAATTGCAGTGAACAGAAATAGGAAATCAAGAATGGCTAGCATCGAGATATGAATTGAGAACCATCAACAATGGTTATATACTTGTTGAACTCAGATAACCATCTTATTCGTTCATATTATCAAGTATTCATGTTCACCAGTCATCTACACTACAAATACTACAAAAAATAGATAAAACACTTGTTTAGGCAAGTTAACAAAAATGAGTTTTATTGTACAATAGAGAATTTACATCACATAAAAAACAGAAAAATTACGGATGATCTTCTGTTTTGTTAGAAAATGAAAACATAAAAATGTCCTTGAATAATAACAGAATGCAAAAGAAAACGAATCGATGTATTGACGATTGAAAAATAGAAAACAAAGAATGAAGAAAAACAAAAGCAGTTAAATGCGTATAATGACTGCGAAGCAATCCTCAGTTGATCATTATGAAATACTTGCTACTCTTGATCCAGGAGTTTATCTTCATTTCCTAGAGAAAATCAACATTAACATGAACATAAAACCTATGCGTGTAAAAGAAAAAAAACACGAACAGAAATACTCAGGTCGTTCATTCTTACAACTGGATCCAATCGGATCTGAAAATGGGTTACCTCGGATCTTATATGAAAACCCACGAGAATGGACGGATTCCGAGTTTCGGATCCATAGGGTCGGAATGCGATTATTAGTTGTGGATCTGAGTGCATATCTTTGCTTTTATTTTCAGTGTGGGTTGATGAATATATGCCCTAGTATTTTTACCAGTGCTCATGCACCGTTGTGCTGCGTGTGTAAATGTTGTGAACAATTGAGTGGATGCTTTTGAAATCCTAGTGTTACATTGAGGATGGCGTCCTATAATAAATTTCAAGTTTCAATGAAAGGCAAATATATGAGGACTGTAAAAGTTTATGTAATATCTCGACGCTGATTGAAATGTATGAAAGCGAGATAGTTTCTGGTAGCTGATTGCTGCCACAGGTCAGCAGCAAACTGAACTGATACATAAATCTATTGAGAAATTGAGCGAGCACTGGCGTTAGGTTCATCCGCAGTTTTCCAGACAAATATCGTTTTGTATGCTTTCAACACGCACATACAGCCAAACAAAAGGCTCATAGTACCATACTTTGAAATTTTCGTTTCTCCGAACTGAATTTGCTTCTGTAGTTCAAACACTACATCCACTCAATAGCGTTTAATGGCGCCTCAAATTCAGCAGTTCCAGAAAACAAATGGCCCACCTCGAACCATACAAGTATCTGGAAAACTTCCCAGGGCTGCTGAGGCTCTAGAAATTCTAAGAGTTGTAAGAGTTCTAATAGGTTTACTAGGTTAGGAATCCCTATTAGATAGTGGCCTGAAGAGTTCTGAACTCCTGGAATCCGACCATGTCTCGAGTTACCCAAGCCAACAACCAGACTCGCATCTCA